ACAATATTGATTTTTACATAGTATCACAACTAAAATGGGTCAAATATAATATATCGCAGTGAAGCATCCAGAATGTTTATAAAAACATGTAAATGTTAATGTTGAGTCCTGTCTGTGAGAGGCAACACTGACGGTGTCTGTGGTTACAAACATCCTTTGTCCCCGTCAGTAGCAGCTAACAGCTAACAGCTAACAGCTGAGAACATTAGTTTAATGCCCAAGCTGAAATAAAAGAGAGCGAACTTTAATGACACTGCAATTAATGGGCCCAGCAGACAGAACGCTCAAAGAGCAGATATTGACTTCATTAGGGATAATGTATGATGTCATTAAGTCAGCAGGGTCACCTTGTGTACCACACACACACACACACACACACACACACACACACTACATAACCAGGCGTAATATATTGGCATTTTCCCCGTGAATGAGACAAATTCGGACGTGAGAGATAAAGCTGATTAGAAAATGTTTCATCCAGACAGAAGCAGCAGCAGGAGGAGGAGGAGTAGGAGGAGGAGGAGGAGGAGTGAGAGGAGGCGCGGACAGAGATAATGTGTGACGGTGGGAGAGGATTGATTGGCCGTAGAAATGTAACTGTTATTTTTTTAATTCTTAAAAAAGAAACGATGAGCAGGAAATAATGTAATTCTACTGAAATCTTTGTCATATTTTGGTCATTTAGATTAGATGATTAATCATGGTTGATCTACAGCTAACCGTAGTTAATTAGATTCATCTGACCACTTTATAATTGACACGTTAACTTCTTTTCACCCAAAACTTGAAGCAACAATATATATATATATATATATATAAACAGAAACAAAAGGGGAAAAAACCAAATGAGCTGTAGCCTCTTGTTTTGTTTTTTTTTTTCCACAGTTATTCTTCACTTCCACTTTGCTCCGCTGCAACCTTGCTAGTTCCTTTTTTCCCCTTTTTTTGGGTCAGCCTCCGTGATTATCGGCAGTTTCTCATCTGGCCCAGACCGAAGCTCGTTTGTCATGATTATTGCTGAGTTCTGGCCTGTCATTGGCTGCAGCGGATCAATGTCTGTCGACTCTCTTTCCTCCTTCTGTGGACACAACAAACAGCATTTTCTACAACAACTGACGCCTCGCCCCCCCCTCTCACTGTGTCCTCTCTCCCTCCATGTCTCTCCCTCCGTCTCTCCCTCCGTCTCTCCCTCCATGTCTCCCACTTCCTCCCCCTGAGTCACTTCATCCATTCTGCAGTCTCTATATCTTCATCTCCTCCAATCACTGCTGACACTGGCGTTTCTTCTCTTCTTCCACTCAAACAGCAAAACAAATGACGTCTGTGTAGAGAACAACCGACCAAACCAGGGTTGAACTAGTCTTAGTTACTGGTTTAGTTGGTTAGTAGACATTAAATCAAACACTCACTTCACAGATTTTTGATAAAATAGTTTTATGGAAACTACATAAAAGTTGATAAAAATGTTGCCAGGGTTTAGGAACATTTAAAAAGAAAGTTTTACAAAATGTGAAAAGTAAAAAATATATTTAAAAAAAAAATATCAGAACTAAAATTGACATTGTTGATAATTGTCAAATTTCAGCTGCAGAACCAACAGACATGTTTGTTGAGCAGAGGAGGAATTCCTTTGTCACATCAGACCCCCCCACCACCCCCTTACTGTAGGTGTCACTGTTTCTTGCATTTTTAATCCGACCGCTCGCCAGCTTTTATGTCTTGGCAGGAGTTTGAAGAACATAAAACATTTTATTTGTAAAACTTGTCTGAATTACTCGCCGCAGGTCATCGCAGAACGAAAAGAGAATCACATTTAGTTTTTACAGCCAATAAAAACTCAACCTCTTGTTGATTTTCAAACATTCAGGCGAAGTTTGGAGAGTCACGTGCCTCGGGTCATAGCCCCCCCCCCACCACCACGCCCCCACGCCCCCCCGACTGTTTTTCAAATAAAATGAGCCTCATTAAAAACACACACACACTCATACACACACACACTGTCTCTCAATCAATGCTGCTTGTGTATTGGCTGCAGACTCTGACGGGTGTAAAGTTCATCACTGCACATCATCGTCTGGAACCAAAACTTCTCTAAAAAAATGCTGTTGGATCTTTTTTACGTTTTACATCTATTTATTTTTGATGATGTGAGCGGGCGGTCGGTTACGCCTTTAAACGGGACGGCTGATCCTGGGAGAAAATGAGAGCGTAATTTAATGTTCAAAGACGCAGCAGAGGACGTTAATTACAGAGGCTCCTAACGAGGATTAAATGATGGCTGCACTAATTACTGCTGAAGGGCTGAGCTGCTCTGACCGCAGCCCCGGCCAATCACATCCCACCAATGTTTTCATGGTCTGAGAAAACTACAGGAGAAGTGATATATATTTATATATATATATTAACACTACATTAAGAATTTTTATTTTTTTAAATAGTTCATAAATGACAATAAAGCCAGCGTTCCATCTTGACTTAATTATCCCGTTGTCTAGACTCACTTTTTTGGAATAACAAAATACGATAAGTCAATTTTCTTAATAATAATATAATATAACGACTAAATAAACATATTTCACAATAATAACAATTCAAGTGACTTTTGATTATATTTCAAGATAAATCTTTCCAGTTACATTTAAGCAAATATATTATCAAGTAAAGAAATGAAAAATGTCTACATTAATATGAAGGTCTGTTTTTAACCTATTACATATATGTTATATATATTATATATTATATACAGATATATATATAAAAGGTTTTTTGTTTTGTTTTTTCAATTTTCTTGCAACAGCTTTTGGCTTATATTTTTTTCTTTCTATTTTTTTTTTTTTTAGTATAATGTGATTCAATAAAAGTTTAAAACAAACATGAAGCTAAATGTTACGTCAGAAATTAGCCAAATTCATTTAAAGTTTAATTTATTAAGATTACGGACCTGGTTATGATCTAAACGTTAGTCAAATTCTACTAAACAAAATATCATCTTTTGATGCAGGAAATATGTTGGTTCAAATAACAAATAACTGTTGACATTTTAACTATTGTGTTGACTAACTCTGAGCTGTGTGCTAGACCAAAGTAAGAACTAATCATTATTATAATCTTTATATATATATTATAATTGTGAGATAAATGCTATAATTATAACTCTACGACTAACTTCAGGTTTGATTATTATTTTTGCGTTTATTTAGCGGCGTCACTCGGTGGTCGTTCCGCTGACGTTCCTGTGTTTTCTACAGAACCTTCTGGAGAAGAACAGACGGAGAGACTCCAGATCTGTGTTGTCTAGATATTCCTCACCTCTGTTCACTTCACTCTCTCAGTGCGTTCTCTTGTCTGTATTCACACACACACACACCCACACACACACACACACACGCGGCGAGGCTAAATGTTGACTCTAATGTAAGCAGCTGCTGCAGATCCAGAGGTGGAGTTTGACAAGGACTGAGGAGAATCAGGGAGTTCTGGGACACAGTAGGAGGAAGTGGCTGAGAGTTAGACTGAGTCTGGTCCTGCACACACACACACACACACACACACACACACACACACACAGCTAGTCCAGTGCCACCAGGAGAGCTGATGAGTTTTATCACCTTCCGCTCCAACTTCTAATTGACGTCTGGGTCCCACACAGTTTCCCATCATGCCTCTGCTGCTGCCACAGAGCTCTCACTAGTCGTACCTCTGGTTCCCCCCCCCCCCCCTCCCCCCCCCCCTCTACCTTTCGTGCAGCCACCATCACGGCTGCTGCTGTCTCTTGGCTCGGCTGAGCATGCCTGACAGCAGGATTCCTCTTCTTTGGGGGGTATTAGAGCCACTTTCCCGCTCTGACAGCCTGCTCTCTGCTGCCCCCTCTGACAGCCTGCTCTCTGCTGCCCCCTCTGACAGCCTGCTCTCTGCTGCCCCCTCTGACAGCCTGCTCTCTGCTGCCCCCTCTGACAGCCTGCTCTCTGCTGCCCCCTCTGACAGCCTGCTCTCTGCTGCCCCCTCTGACAGCCTGCTCTCTGCTGCCCCCTCTGACAGCCTGCTCTCTGCTGCCCCCTCTGACAGCCTGCTCTCTGCTGCCACCTCTCAGCTCTGCCTTCACACTTCTCTGGGCAGCCGCCGCCTCTTGACAGACCACTGTCACTTCCCATCATGCTCTCTGCTGATCGCACCTCCCTTTTCTCTTGCTGTGGCTGCT